GCGCCGAAGATCGTGGTTGCCCTCTACGACTACAACGCCACCGAGCGAGGGGACCTGTCACTGCGGAAGGTAATCAGCCGACGGCGCCCTCGGTCGCTCGGTCACGACTGCTGGTTCTTGCAGACTAAAGTCATGAATGAAATTGAGTTGAAGCAGCATCTGCTGCACAGTCAGTGGCTGGCCATTCATTTGCATAGCATTTTTTATTGTGATTAATATTATTGTTGTTAGTATTGTCATCATCAACATCATCATCATCCTTATTACCATCATTGTCATTATTATTATTGGTATTACTATTATTAGTACTGTTACTGCTACTACTACTCACTACTACTACTACTCACTACCACTACTACTCACTATCACTACTACTCACTACCACTACTACTACCACTACTACTACCACTACTACTACCACTACCACTACCACTACTACTACCATTACTACTACCACTACTACTACCATTACTACTACCACTACCACTACCACCACTACTACCACCACTACTACCGCCACTACTACCATTACTACTACCACTACTACTACCACTACCACTACCACTACTACTACCATTACTACTACCACTACTACTACCATTACTACTACCACTACTACTACCACCACTACTACCACCACTACTACCGCCACTACTACCATTACTACTACCACCACTACTACCACCACTACTACCGCCACTACTACCATTACTACTACCACTACTACTACCACCACTACTACCACCACTACTACCGCCACTACTACCACTACTACTACCACTACTACTACCACCACTACTACCACCACTACTACCACCACTACTACCACCACTACTACCACCACTACTACAACTACTACTACTACTACTACTACTACTACTACTACTACTACTACTACTACTACTACTACTACCACTACTACTACCACTACCACTACTACTACTACTACTACTACCACTACTACTACTACTACTACTACCACCACTACTACCACCACTACTACTACTACTACCACCACCACTACTACTACTACTACTACCACTACTACTACTACTTCTACTACTACTACTACTACTACTACTACTACTACTACTCTACAACTACTCTACTACTGCTACCATTGTAGATCATTGTTATTATTGTTATTATTATTATTATTATTATTATCATCATCATCATAGTTTTATATTATTGCTAACATTAAAGTTTTCTGTTGTACAATGCATATATGCGTTCTTAACCTTTTTTAGAATGAAGAATTCGAGGTGCTTGAACAAGATCAGGAACACTGGTGGAAGATGAGAAATAGACAAACTGGGTAGGTCTTCCATCGGACTGTACATACAGTTCATATTCTTAAAGTATTTTATAACAGATATTTATATGAATAGAAAGTATTGTAATTGTATTCACATGTACTGAAATTCATCTGCAGAATGGAAGGTTTTGCTCCCAGCAATTACGTTAGAGAGCTAGGAACACCTGATATACAGCAGTATGAGTAAGTATGCTAAGACAGACATGTGTTTAGTGCGAGTGGTGTCTCATTTCTTCCATAGTATAGAATTGTTCTCTGATAGCATTTTTGATAGTGATATATTTTTGAAACAAAATGGTACAAGCACATTGGTGTGTTTCACCATGGCTGTTGCGTGAATTTATGTGGAATGCCTGTCCCTTTAGCTGGTATCTCGGCGACGCAACAAGACAGCGCGCGGAAGTATTCCTAATGCAACAGGAGCGGGAGGGTTGCTTTGTTGTGCGGAACTCGACCACGAACTCTGGCGTCTACACCCTTTCAGTGTATACGAAACAGTAAGTTGGTTTATGTGATAGTTCGAGATCGAGCTTTGCCGTTGTGATACAAAATATGTGTAATACGAAGGACGTTAACTTTGCCTTTTTATTTTCTTTAAGTTTCTTTTAGTTTTACACTTACAGAGACATGTAACGTACATTCTCTCCGAAGAACAAATTGTCATTCGACGGGGCATGTCTTGGGGTTGTATATCTCCATTTATATATTTGTTTATACTGGCTTAGGTCTCATCCGCAAGTAAAGCACTATCACATCAAGAAGGACCCGGAGGGAAACTACTACCTGTCGCAGAACATCAAGTGCAAGACCATTCCCGAGCTCATCTACCGGCACCAGCACAACCCCGGCGGTATCTGCGCCAGACTGCGACCGCCCACCCTCGGGAGAACTGCGCCAGCGACTGCGGGGCTCAGCCACGGTAAGGGCAATTTGGGGAAGTTTCCTTTGAAATGTTGAGTTTAGAATTTCCTTGTGCATTGCCCGTAGTTTTTATAATCATCGCTATCCCCCCCCCCCCCCTCTGTGACCCTCTTTGAGGAAAAGGACTCCCTCTATGTATGGTTTATGTTGTTCTTCAGATAAGTGGGAGATTGATCCATCGGAGCTCAATCTGCTGGAGGAGCTGGGTTCCGGGCAGTTCGGCGTTGTGCGCCACGGCAAGCTCAAGTCCTTGGACGTGGCTGTCAAGATGATGAAGGAAGGGACGATGAGCGAAGACGAATTTATTGAAGAAGCGAAAGTCATGACGTAGGTGTCTCTCTTAGTTGGTGGTGCAGTTAAATGGTTATTTTTTCTTGATTGCTTTGATTATTTGGTTGATGAAATATACTAAGCAAAGTTACCACTGTATTCGTTGCACAATGTAGGGTATTGCTTAAGGGACATGTTGATAGGGCAGATTTCTAATGCCGGACATAGATAGTGAATTGCACGTAGATATATAGGTGCGTCGATAAATGCTTAAATTAATGCATCGTGATCACATTATAAGTTTCTTAAAACTGACTAATTGATATTCCAGGAAATTACGACACGGTAATTTGGTTCAGCTGTATGGAGTGTGCAGCAGACAACGCCCAATATACATCGTAACGGAATACCTGCGCTATGGATCCTTGCTACAGTATCTTCGTAACAAAGAAAGAATCCTATTAAATAATACTGATGTTCTTTTAGATATGTGTTTGCAGGTAAGCTTACTTATTCTGTAACAAGTGCAAGGCTTAGATTCATTAGCTGTTAGACTTGTCTGAGTTTGTCATTAAAAGCTAAGAAGTACATGAAAGTACCTGTAACAAGATATTTTTTACTGAACATAAAAGATAGTGATGGTGAATGTGATAAACAATGTCTGTTGTGATAAGAATATGAAATATTTATTTTAAGAATGGGAACTTATTATCAGACTCCTCTTTTTGACCGTCAATGTTTTTTGACATTGAAACTAGTCTTATGGAAATTATTGTTGACTTGTTTCAGGATTATCAGATTCAGACAATTCAGTTTATGAACAAACTCAAGTAGCCGAAATAAAAGAAATTGTTTATGGGGAAGAACCTCATTGGTTTTTTGCATTGTCGGATATTTTGTGGAAGTGTCAAAGTGATAGCATTTAAAGGGTTGGCTTATGTTAAACGATACTTCAAATTTATTAGAGGAATATGTAAGCAGCTCAGAAATCCTTATGCATAAACTTAGCAGAACTTCTGAAAATAAGTGATTTTTGCAAAGAATTATTGCAATGACATGCATATCTAATGGTGTAAGGAATCTTTTTATCTTTTTTTTTAAGGTATCATGACTCAAAGATATGTAGTATACCGTAGTATAAGGCCTGTGTTTACACCTGTTTACATATGAACCATATTTAGCAAACAAGAAACAAGTCCTAAGAAAGTCTTATGATAATTCATTTCACTGTAAACTGTTGCATAAATTATCCGAATTAATAATGATGATAATATTTGAATTATTTCCTGAAAGGCAATAAGGTATTTATACTTATTTACTTTCACTTCTTTCATATTCCTCATGGATGGTAATTTTCTTTTCAGTATAGTGTTATTATCATATAGATTTTTTTTATAATCATTATTGTTATTATTATTTGTGGTTTTATTCATTATTATTATTATTATTCTTAAGATAGTAATAATAATGATAATAATAATAATTATTATTAGTATTATTAGTTATTATTAGTTATTATTATTATTATTATTATTCAGTTGAACAGTGTGAAGTCATTGTGATTTATTAGTATATCTGTTATTGGCTATATAGATAATTGTGTATATGAGAGGTAGCAGGCTATTTCTAGAGCCAGGCACAAAAGCAACTTATATTTTTTCCAGGTCTGTAGTGGAATGGCTTACCTTGAGAAGCAGAAGTTCATTCACCGTGATCTTGCAGCAAGAAATTGTCTTGTGGGAGCTCACAATGAAATTAAAGTTGGAGATTTTGGTTTAGCAAGGTGAGTCTAGATTTATAGCAGTAGACATGAGTGAAGGCTGTGTCTGGTGTGGATTCACTTCTCATGTAACTTTATAACACATAGCTTAATAAAACTTGATTTTCCTATCAATATATTGTATATATAACCTCAGTTTTTCTGTGAACAAAGAATATTGAAGATATAAATTATATTTTCAGGTATGTTGTGGATGACGAATATACTGGTTCAGGAGGTGCTAAGTTCCCAATCAAGTGGGCAGCTCCTGAAGTGCTAAACTTCATGAGATTCTCCTCCAAGTCTGATGTCTGGGCCTTCGGTGTCTTGATGTGGGAAGTCTTCACTTGCGGCAAAATGCCTTATGGCCGGATGAAGAATGCCGAAGTTGTTGATATGGTGCAGCATGGAAGAGTTCTGGAAAAACCCAGATTTTGTCCTAGTGATGTCTATAATGTAAGTTATTTCTTGTTTTTCTTCATTTTTCATGCTCTTTTTGTTTCAGTTATTCATTTTGTCTTATGCTGCTATGTTATTATTATCATTGGTCATCTTTCATTTTCCTTTATCTTTATCTTCATATACAGTTTACTGAAATTGATATTAGGGGAGAAAAAGACAAAGCACATGTGACCTAAAGATGGAATTAGATTTCCAAGGAACCAGTGTAAATCTGATGTTGGTTTTCATTAAAATAATAATTGAAATTGAACATAGAAGGATTTCAACATT